CTCAAGTATCAGATGAGTTGAGGCCAAAAAAAGGGTAAGAATTTGACACAATTGATGATGTTGTGACATTCTACAATGCTTATGCAAAGCAGCTGGGTTTAGTGTAAGGGCTTGGACTACTCAGAAAGAGCCGGGAAGTGGTGAAATAAGAAGGAAGGAGTATGTTTGTTTTAAACAAGGAAAATCTTCAAGAATCACGGATGTTGGAAATAAAAGACGTCGAGGAGGCTTAGCAGAGGATTGTCATGCCAAAATTGTAGTTTTAAAATCAAACTCCGGAAAATACATTGTTACTGTTTTTAATGAGGAGCACAGCCACCCTCTATCAACACCATCAAAGGTTCATCTTTTAAGGTCCTACCGTAACGTTTCAGCCGCAACAAAGTCTTTAAGTAAACAATTCTCCATGGTGAATATGCCTCAGCATCAACAATTTAGTTTTCTTGGAGTACAAACTGGAGGTATAGAAAATATTGGGTGCACTCAAAGAGATTTGTATAATCATGAAAGGGATATACGTGTTGATATGAAGGGGCATGATGATGAAATATTTTATGAGTATTTAAAATTGGAACAAGGAAAGAATCACTCGTTTACTTTTCAAATTGAGGCCGATGAGGAACAAAAAATTAATCGTTGTTTTTGGTCCGATGCAACTTCAAGGCGGGCTTACAATTTTTTCGGTGATATTGTAATCTTTGATACCACTTATAACACTAATCGATATGGCCTAATATTTGCACCAATAATAGGGGTTAACAATCATGGTCAGACAATTCTTTTTGCTTGTGGATTTTTTAAATCATGAGAGCGTTAATGATTTTGTATGGTTATTTAATCAATTTTTGGCAAGTATGCCTGGTGGTGCCCCGAAGATGATTATTACCGATCAAGATCTAGCTATGACCAAGGCATTCCCTCTTGTTCTTCCAAATAATTTTCATAGGTAATATAGTTTGTATACATTGTCTTTCTTCCAAATAATATTTATATACATTGTCTATTTTTTAACACTTTAGAAATTTCTTTTGACAGGTATTGTAGTTGGCATATATTAATGTATACATTGTCTATTTTTTAACACTTTAGAAATTTCTTTTGACAGGTATTGTAGTTGGCATATATTAATGAAGTTTTCTGAGAAAATTGATGCAGTGAAGTATAGTATTTATAAGAGTGAGTTTTCGGCTTGCATTTGGAAATCGGAGACTCCTGAAGAATTTGATTTACAATGAGAAAGTCTGATTAAGGAGAGTGGGTTAGAAGAAAACAAATGGTTGTAAGACCAATATGAACTTCGGTCAAGATGGATTCCAGCATATGTTAATCACGTATTCTCAGTTGACATGTCAAGTAGTCAACGAGCAGAAAGTGGATATGTATTTTTTAAGAAATTTGTTTCGAAGAATAATTCATTGGTGGATTTCATGATTCAGTTTGGTCGGGGACTAGTGCGCCAACGTCATGAGGAGTTGATGACCGATCACAAAGATATAATTGAGAAACCTAAACTTAGAAAAAATCATGACTTTTTGGAGCAAATGGTTGATATTTACACGAATGAGATGTATTACAAGTTTGAGGCTGAAGTGTGTGACAACTTTAACAACAAGTTGCAATGTGTTAGGGAAACCGACAATCACTGTGTGTATCAAATTCAAAGAAAGAAGCTTGCAGCAAGTAAAGTCTGCGAAATCGTTTGTGACAAGGACTTGGATTTGGTTTCTTGTAGTTGTAAAAAGTTCGAAAGCGTCGGAATCCTATGTACGCACATTATCTCATATTTGATGAAGTTTGATGCTGAAATATTGCCCGATAAATACATCTTAAAGAGGTGGACTAAGTCTGCAAAATCAGGGACGTGGTTGATAATAAAGGCATGCAGATAACCTCTGACAATTCTTATCTTTTAACGCAGAGTCAATTTATCCAATCATCTTTGGATTTAGTTGACAAGTCTCTCGTATGTGAAGAAACAAGGACGATGTTTACCGATGGTTTGCGAAGCATTAATGAGCAAATAAGTCAATTTCTTAGTAGCCGCATGGTTGTAATGAGCTTCACCGAAAAATGTAATTCAATAGGTAGTAATATAATAGGTGATGGTGATGGTACTAGTGCGCACGGTTCTTGTACTTTTCAAAATAGTTTCAATGAACCCAATCAAGTGCGAGCAAAGAGGTGCGGCAAAAGGTTGAAAGGAGGAAAAGAGAGAACAATGGCTAGAGTCAAAAATAAAAGAGAGACGTTGTCACGGGTGTGGTAAAGTAGGCCAATCACATGATAAACGAAATTGTCCGGCACTCACAAATCCGTAAGTAATAATTCTTCTATTCTTTTTGTTGTCTTATTTTTCACATTCTAGTATCCCTCTTGATGTATTTATATATTTTTTAATATAATGTAGGTCTTCTACATGCGTTGATGTGAATTTGCAAGAGGGTAATGAGATATCAAGTGAAGATGAGGGTTATGTAAATCTTTTTGAATGAACTCGAGGAGTGGTGCAGAAATCTGTTTTAACAAGAAGTAAGCCCATTTATAGTTTAGCTGAACTATGTGTTTTATAATGCCTGAACTATGTGTTTTATAGTGACTTATTTTATCATGTTCTAGGAATTCGTTAATGAAGGGTACAATCTCCTGGACACAAACTTAAATATTTTGTAATAACATGTTTCAACCCCTGGACAAATTAACTCAGCTTTGAGTCTTTTTGCATATATATAATATACTATAAATAGTGATTCTTGCCCTATTTCTGTAGTAAAAAAAAGACAGTTAGGCATCTTGATGATATAGAGAAATTTAAATTAGCCCTTTTGTGTCACTTCACATATATACTTGAATTCGCTATTATGCCCTCTCATTGACAGTAAATTTGTGAAGTGAGAAACTTCAAATCCATTGTTGATCCAATTTTAAAGTTATATAGACAGTTATTTTGTGAAGTGAAAAACTTTAGATCTATGGCTGGTCCAATTTTAATGCAAATCAAATGCATGCAGATGCATACTGCTACTTATTTACATATATGACAACTTGTGGTAAAATGTATTCATTGTATAATTACTGTATAGGGTTCAAGTATACAGAAGCTGTTATGGGCAGAGAGAAGTGGTTGAAAAGTTGTTGATGGAAACTTCAAAATGTGGGGTTGCCTTTCAAAAAGTTTAGTTACCTATTGTTGTTGGTTGTTTCAAAATGTTGATTATTGTAAGGATTGTAAGGACTATTTTGAGTTATTTGCACTTGGGATTATTGTAAGGATTGTAAGGACTATTTTCAAAATATTTTAAAATGTTCAGTCTTTGTTTATTGTGATGTATGCTGCACTTGGGAAGATTTGTTTTAAAGAAAGCACTAGAAAATGTTCAGTCTTTGTTTATTGTGATGTATGCTGCACTTGGGAAGATTTGTTTTAAAGAAAGCACTAGAATTTGGACATGCTGTTGTGGTTGTGATGTATGCTGCACTTGGGAAGATTTGTTTTAAAGAAAGCACTAGAATTTGGACATGCTGTTGTGGTTGTTATAAATAAAATTGACAGGCCATCAGCTCATCCAGACTTTGTGATCAATTCCATATTTGAACTGTTTATCGAATTAAATGCAACAGATAAACAGGTAAATATTTTAAGATTAACCTATTCTCTCATCAATAGACTGCACCTCAGGTTCTGTTCCATGAACCTTTTTGCTACCATAACATATTTCGCTCAAAACTGAACACATGAAAGGTCAAAATAACTCAAAATTGAGTGCATTATGATCAAAGGAACACATAATTTCATTCCAACACAAAAAGCAAAAAGACTTGTTTCATTCCAACACATGAAAGGTCAAAAGAACACATAATTTTATTCCAACACAAATGACTAACAGACTTGTTTCATTCCAACACATCAAGGCGTGAACTATTACAAAATACCGATTCCACAACACATAATTTCCTCACTTACAAAGTCTTGTTTCATTCTAACACATAGTGTTACATCACATAATTTCTTTTATGGCCAGACAAAAAGACAACAAAAAAGCTATAACAGTTAGCCATTTCCACAATACTTTTTCACGTACAACAACCAAGTCACGTGCCACTGGTGGGGCAATGTTGAGTGGTATTTGTTCAACTAATGAAATCTTGCACCATCCCAAAAACGAGCCGTACTTTTGCCTTTTACACGAGTAGTAAATTCTACCATGGTTATTGTTCTTGTTCGACTTCGTTATCTTCACATCCGCTAATTCACCACACTCGCATTGTTTCAATATGAATTTAATATCCACTTCAACACATGATTACCTTCCACAGTTGATGATGAAGCCATTTCAATCTGCCAAATTTGAATAATTTAACATGAACATGTGCTGGAAAGAGACATAGGAAAAATTTATAATTCAAGTGTAACAAAAAATCACTATCCAAAAACATTATCTGCTGAATGACAAAAATTGCTTTTTGTGCTAAATGACAATAATCAAAGTATGTTAAATCAAAGTAGTTACACAAGAATGGGCAAGTGCTTTTGTACTACATTAACAGAAGTTTCTCCAGTTGTTAAATCAAAGTAGTTACACAAGAATGGGCAAGTGCTTTTGTACTACATTAACAGAAGTTTCTCCAGTTTATCATTAAGCACTTGAGTAATGAATAAGGCAAGTGCTTTTGTACTACATTAACAGAAGTTTCTCCAGTTTATCATTAAGCACTTGAGTAATGAATAAACTTTTTGACAATAAATCAAGTTTCTGTTAATGACAATAATCAAAGTCTGTTCTTGACTCCATTAACAGAAGTTTCTCCGGTTATGGGCAAGTACTTAATGACAAAAAGCAATCCCTACTCCAAGGTTTCAGCACATAAATTCCTATAATTTCTACACATAAATTACTATAATTTCTACATAATTTCCTATAATTTCTACACAATCAGTAAGTTTTGTCTTGTTAGATTATTTTAGTATGTTCGCATTGGTTTTGTTATTTTAAAGAGCCATGTATTTTGATTTTGATATTTAAGCAATTATTCATATTGTTAAGTTTAGAGTTGAGTTACTAATTATACAGTTATTTTATTACATTGGTTATTATTCTTTTATAACTAATATAAAAGATTATTCTAAATAGCAATTGTGAGTATGTATAGTATTTATTCATGGTTTGTTTATAGTGTATTTGCATATTTGTTGTTTGGTTGCTTCGTTTTTGATATGTATTATTTTGTCATTGTGAAAATATACATTGCATACACGTGATATTTTTCAGTATTTATTTTATGGTATTTCTAGTTTTTTACGTCTTTTATTGTGTTATTAGTTGTTGTTCATTCTCTATTCATTATTTTCGTTTTACTTGTGTTGTGTTTTACTTTCTCATTATTTTTATATTTACTATTCTCTTTTTCATTATAGTGTATTCACGTAGATTATTATATTTACGATGTATATTTTTATTGATTTATAGTCATTGATTATTTCTAGTATCAACTGTGTAACCATGTTTATCTAAAATATATCGATGTTTTTATTATAAAGAATTATATTCTTCTTATGTTTTCATTTGCTTATATACCTATTTTACCTTTCATAGTTTTTGTTTTTATATATTATACTTCTTTATCTAGTGGTATGTTTGTGAGTTTCAGTATTGTTAGTAAACATTTATGTTCAGTGTATTCTACGATCTTGTATGAGTTAATTTATTGGAGTTCTATGCTGTCAATTTGTTCGTTACTTATATGAATGCATTGAGCTTTATTATGTTTTCTCGTCAGAATTGTATTTTTATTATTTTAACACGTATTGTTTTATATCGTGCTACTCTTCCATTTTGTTTTTTTCATTTTTGTATTGTCGTAGATCATATTATGTCAATATCGTTGTATTCTTATATTTTCTTGATTAAGTGTTGCTATTTTTCGGTGTAAGGGTGTGGTGTTATGACTTTATAGTTGTGTATACGGTTGTTACCATGTGTGCGTTGTTTAGTTTTGATTTTCGTGATTTACATATTGTGTTTTAGTTACGTATATAGTCATAATATTTTTGTAGTTGGCGTGTTTTTTGTGTTATTACATAATTTTGGTCACATTGTACTTTTCATGTATGTGTATTTTGTTATCGTTATTGTTTGGTTATTTATCAAGTTATATGTTTTCTTGTATGTGTTTTATGTTATTTTTAATTTAAATTATTAGTTTAACTGTGTTATTCGAGATGTTATTTGGGATTATGTTATTATTTAGTTACAGCTTTTGCATATTGTCGACGTTTTGTTTATTAGTTGTTTTTTCTCTTTTGTTGGATTGCGTATATTTTACTTTAATAAGTGAATTCTTTTGCTTGTTCACTAACTATTTTAATTGTTGTTGTATTATACCTAGTTATTCATGTTCCTTAGTATTTCATTTTTATGCGTCCTATTATTTTACGCTTACGAATGTGTTTTCGTTATCTGCTATTCGTTGCATGAACATGTTAAATTCTTGTTCTATATGTAAAATGTCACATCTTATATCTTACCTTGCATTGTTATTGTTTTACATTCTCCTCTGCATATGGATATAATTCCATATCTCCGTCCTTGTGTTTTTGTACATTACTTTTATATTAATTCTGAGAACGGAATTTGTTTTAAGGGGGTAGAATGTAATGACCATAAATTATGATACTAGTTGAAATAAATTTTTTAGTATTTTAAAATATTTAATTATGATTTTTAAAAGAGTATTTGTATTTTTCTTGAATTTCTACAATTTTCTATGATTTAAAGTCTAAGTTTTATATTTATTTAAATGATATTAATATTTACAAATTAATTTTATGCGGTGAAAGTTTATGGAATTTATGTGTTGCGTTATCGATGCTGTTACATGTCATTTTGAATAATATGTTATATTATTTTTATTATTACGTATATTTTCATATAATACGTTGTATTATTAATTACGTACTATTTGTATAATTTACTGTATTATTTCTATTGTTACATATTATCTGTTGTATCAGTATAACTTGTACGTTTTACTATGTATATAATTATCCCATAATTGTTTGATTTTAAATATAAGTAAATATATTTTATTTATTAATTATTCTCGTTTAATTGTACAATATGGGTATATTTCGACTATTTCGTATCAACTGTTGTATTAGCACAATATGTACTTTTTTATTTGTAGATAATTATTCTGTAATTAGTTTAAATTTTAAATACCTATAATTATTTATTTTAAATATTTTTGGTTTTAAAAACCCTAATTTTCCTTTAGATATATATATTGTGTGTGTTTATGGGTTTCTCTCTCTCCCTCTCTTCTTCACGAAACCGCCGCCACCCCTCTCTCTCTCCATCTCTCTTCTCGGTCATCTACATCTCTCTCTCGTCTGACACCCCCAACGCGACGATCCACCTGAAACGCCACCACACCAACCCGAGGCAACCCAATGTGCCTCGCCACCCTCGTGGCGCCGCCTGAACCCGCCTCCACGACCCTCCTCCCCGCTTGTCCAGATCTGAGCGCGGCTCCCCTCTTCCATCGTCCTCCACACCGACAGCGCCCCTCCGACCAGCCTCCGAACCGACGCCTGTCCCTCGTTTCTCCTCTTCTCTTCCTCGACAACGAACCCAACAACACGCCACCAACCACCGATCTTCTCGCGTGCTCCACCTCAGACCACCACTCACACCTGCCCCACTGCGATCCAGTGCCGCCGACCGCCTGAACCCCGACTCGCCATTCCCTCAGCCCTGATCGTCGTCGCTCCCTCCTTCGTCTAGCCGCTCGAGATCCCTCGCGCAGTCTATCCTCATCACCGCCCCAGTCCCCTCCCTCCCCTCCAGCGGTCAGCCCGTGACGTCCGAGCTCTTCCATCTCCAGCCACCCAAATCTCCTCACCCGCAGCAACACGACGCGTACAGCCGCCTTGTGACTTCGCCCCTGTAGCTCCGACAGCACCACCCCCGTATCCCTCCTCTCTGTCCTCCGCTGACCGTCGAAAGCCGCCTTCACCCTCTGACGACCAGCGTCTAGCCCCTCCTTCGGCACCTCCCTAGCCTCGTCGAGAGCTCCAGCCATCCCACATCAGATCCACATCGTCCCTTTTTCAGATCCGCCGTAGTCTCGTCGATTCGTTCGACAATACCCCGAGGCAAGATCTCGCCTCTCCTTATTGTCGTTTTAATATTTTTATGTGTAGATTAGTTTGTGTTATAATTAATTGCATGGGTTATTTGGTGAATAATATTGATTTATATCATAGTTGTGTAATAAATAGTATTTTTGAAATAATGATAATAAAGTTAAAGAAATTATTT